TGAAGGCCGGTAAGTTTCTTTCGAAATTACAAGGAGGAACGGGAAAGCGGGCTGATGCGTGAACGGAATTTAAGTGTAGGTGGACGGTTCGGACGACTTTTTTGGAAAACGCGAAATAGAGCCACCTCTTGATTGGCCATGTCTCGTCTTCCGACCACGTGTTTATCTGGAACCAAGGTAAGTAGAGTCGAATTTCTTCTAGAGCCGCACCTCCCTTGAGTGAATCCAATGTGCGATCGATTATGCTAGCGCAACTTCTTACGACCTCCTCCTCGAATACTCGATCATCACCTTTTTTGTTGCGCCCGCGCTTCTTTTCTTGATCTTTAAATGCTTGTAGTTGTTTGGAGGTTGGAGAAAAATCGAGGCGGGTGATGTACTTGTGGAGCCCACGCCAACGTGTGGATAAGACGCTCGTGCACACAGCTTCGGCCACCGTCAGCCGTGAGATTATCGATACGAGAATATCGTCCGGCAATCGGCTGATCTTGTCCACCCCATCATCATCATTATCAATATTATTAATAATCTTATAATTACTTGCTGCTACTATTTTTTCCTGCAGAAACAAATTAAACATATATATTGAAACACATTACTCTTCAATTCAATACACAAGAGAAACACAAAAAAAAAAAAAAAAACTGCATTATGCATCGTGAATGTACAATTACATAAACAGAGGCATCTATTCACAAATCACAAAAACAATAAACCAGAAGAGTGTTAATGATTTCGCAAAAGAATTATGATACATGACGATCAAGTTTTCTGAAAAACATACATATGTACATGCACCTATATATATATATAATAAAAAATAAATAAATATGAGGATATAATACGATTAGAAAATAAACAAGATGTTGAAGTACGAACTATAACATGCTCCGATGCAATGAAAAATATCACAAAAAAAAAAATATAAACAAAAGAGATTTAATTAATAATTACCTTAAGTAGATTTTTATCTTTATTAATCTTCATGTAATTTCTCTTCCTTCTCGTCGATCTACTGTTCGTCATCTCTAATTAATTTATCTAACCAAGCAAAAGACAGAGCGTTCTTCAATATGCGTACGTAGTATGGATATTTATAATAAATACATCGACATATACATATATAGAGAGAGATAGATAAAAGTTAAGTTTCATATAATATAAACAGAATCACATTAGAACTAGGTTTTATGTAAATATCTTACCATAAATAAATAACATTAAAGGCAGATTTGCATTGTAATTAGGATACACGTATATTTTCCTAATCTTTATATATAAAAGAAAAGTTTGTCCCGAAACCCTAAGGATATTTTTGTGGTTTTCCTAATTAAATTTTTTTTTTTTTAAACTAATCTTCGAATAATATTAAGGGCAGATTTGCATTGTAATTAGGATACATGTATATTTTTGTCCCAAAACCTAATTGACAGTTTTTGTGAAATTTTATAACCCGGTTTTCCTAATTAATTTTTTTTAAAACTAATCTTCGAACAAAGTATTCCTCTATCTGAAATTTGTAATCGGAAACGTTCTGCTTATAGACCAAAGGTTTTATGTATATATATCTTACCATAAATAAATAATATTAAAGGCAGATTTGCATTGTAATTAGGATACACGTATATTTTTGTGCCGAAACCCAATTGACAGTTTTTGTGAAATTTTATAAGCCTAAGGATATTTCAGATTTGCATTGTAATTAGGGTACACGTATATTTTTGTCCCGAAACCCAATTTATAGGGTGTAAAAACTTTTTGACGGGTTCAAAAGAATTAAAAGAGTATAAATATAGATTTTTTGCTTATACACGTGATATTAAATTCAGTGGATGATTGTACTTATATAATTTTAATTGTTCAATTCTACAGAAAACTTAATTTCAACGTTTACGTTCACGTAATGTGTTTGGAAAAAATAAAGAGTTCTTATCATATATAAGTTTTGGTAAGATAGTTTTTTACATTAAACCAAAAGAACAAAATCTTCCCAAGAGAATTTGTTCTTCCTTTTATCAGTGAGATGATATTAGATTTTTTTTTCTTAAAGGAAAATCATATATATATATATATATATATATATATATATATATATATATATATATAAATAAATAAATTTTCACGTTATGTTTAATATTTTTGGTAATTCTCCATCGAATATTTTATGTCTTTCACCTTAACAGGGGAAATTTGTTGTCAGAGTAATTGGAAAAAAAGTGTCCCTGTTGTTACTTGGTTCAAGTTTGTGTTTTAAGGCTCTTCTAAATTTGTATAAATTTGAGGATGTATTTTTATCATATTTATTTGTAGGAATGTTACTCTTTTATTGTAATTTAAAGTTTATTATATTGTATATAGATTTTTATTATCATGTGTTTGACTAATAATTTATTTTTCCCTTTTATTATATATTCATCCGTGCAACGCACGTGGCAAAAATACTAGCAGCGATTAATAAGGTGGATTTCGAATATTAAGTAATATTATATTACATAACATATAATTGAAAAATAAGCATTTTTGGGCTAATTAAAATTAATGATAATTTAATTAAATAAAGTGGGTCTCCCATCTAATAAAGAATTCGGACATAAGATTAGACACGGTCATGGGCCGGTTTTCGGCCCGGTTCTTGAAATAAGTGAACCGTGAACCGCCGGGCCGGGCCGGCTGTTCACCCGAAATTAGAAAAAAAAAATAGAAAAAAGCTTAAAAAACTTGAACCGGGCCAGTGAACCGGCCGTTATTTGCTCTTTTTTGAATTTCCCCCCATTTTTTTCGATAATTACCCTCACACCCCATTTTTTTCTATAAAATTAAGTTCAAGCCATTTTATTTATTTTCTTTTGTCTTTTTCATATTTAAAAGTAATTTTTTTAATTTATTTATTCATCAAGTATTTTCGAAAATATATATATATATAAATAAATTTTCTGGCCAACCAGGAACCGGCCCGGATAGGTGCGGAACTGAAGTGAACCGGCGGGCCAAACCGGGTGTAGTACGGGCCGGTTCCGGTTCCGGAAAAAAATGAACCGTGAACCGGACCGGAACTTGCTCATGGCAGTGTCTACATAAGATTATGCCTTTTTTGGTCTTGGGCCTATCAAAAGCCCATAGTCATTAGAGATTAAAAAAATGGCGTTATCTTATATACTCCTAGCCACCAAATAAACTAGATAAACCCAAACCCAAATCATCATTTGACATACCCTGGAGAAGTGAAAGTACTATACTACTCTTATATGCAATTTTCGGCCAAACTGCATTCAACATTTTTGGTCCTGCATTTATCATTTTCGCTGATCTATTATTATTCTCTTTTTTCTGGTCCTATATATATATATATATATATATATATATATATATATATATATATATATATATATATATATATATATATATATATATCTATCTATATATGTATATATATATTTATGTATATATATATCTATCAATC